TTATTAAATATTTTTTCTATACTTCCCGACTTCTCTTAAAAAAAAAACCCTAGGGCAAGATTACAGGATGTACTAGAAACTTCTGAATCAGAGCTTGCCCAAGAGGGATATCTGTTCAACTCAGTTTATATCTGATCACAGCAACAGGTGTATGGAAAGAGAAATGTGATCCAAAGGGGAAAAGGGTACTTCCTCCTTCTGTCTTATGCTTTGGCTTGATTGGTAGTGTGATTATAGGCCTCTTGGCATGTGCACTTGGGAAGTCCACCCCAGCTGTTCTGGAACTTGGCTCCACATGGTTCTTTGGCAGGTGTTTGGCTCAGTATTGCTTGCAAAGCCTAGACAAGCTGTTAGCTAGAGAATCCAAGGACAATATTCCCATAGCACCCCAGCAGGACTATGACACTTACCACAGGCTGCAAAAAGAGTGGGTGACAAGAGCTTTCCTCTGTGTTTACTAACCAGAGGAGGAAGTAAATATTAATCCAAAACCAGTGGAAATCACACAACATGGTATGTAAAAGGACAAAAAAAGAACAGGACATCATTTCAACTAAAAAAGGCGGGGAGAACACTAGGCACAATGACTCAAGCTTGAAATCCTAGCTAACTTGTAGGGTGGAGAGATTGGGGAAACTGCAGTTTGAAGCCAGGCCAGGCATAAAAGTTCAGAGACTCCATCTCAAACAATGGATGGTAATGTACTTGTTGTTTCTTAGCTTTAGGGGAAGCACAATGGCTAGGTACAGTGGCGTGTGCCATCCATCCCCAGCAATTTAGGGAAGCACAGGTAAGAGGATTGTAGCCCAGGCCTATCTAGGCATAAAGTGAGATCCTACCTCCAAAATAATCAAGGCAAGAAACAGCTGGAGACACGGCGTTTGTGTTATGGTACCTGCCTTGCAAGCAGGAAGCGCCAAGTTCAATCCCCAGTACCACCAAAATGAAAAGTTAAGACAAGACAGGAAAGACAAGGACTAGGGTGACCTTTCTGGAAACAACAGTGACCTGAGAAAAAAGGCAGGGAGTATGGTGAAGAATATTCCAGGCAGAGGACACCGTGCTTACAAAGAACATGAGGGAGAGGACCTGGGGAGGAGGATCAATCTTAGAACAAAGAAAAAGAAGGCCATGGTGACAGTGGAATGAATTATGAAGCCAGAGATGACAGCAAGGCTGGTGGCAGATCACAGTAAGAAACCTGTATTTATAGAAATTATAAAACGACATAAACCAAACTGTTACATCCTACTGCTTTTATTTAAACCTAAAATATGTCTATGATCAGGTTTCTAACTATTTTTTAAATTACTTTGGCTGTTGTGAAGAGAATGAACTGAAAGTATAAATGTCAAAAGGGGACTAAAGGAGAGATTTTGGTGGCTTCAATGAGTATGCTGTTCAAGAAGAGGCAGAAAAATTAAAGTAATAGAGAAATAGTTTGGTAATCAATTTATGTGACAGTTAATCAAATGTCCAGATCAGGTTTCTACCTGAACAAATGGACTGGGGAACTGGAGGATGGTGGGGGAAGTGGGTTATATGAATGGCCAGAAGGGTAAGATCAGGGGGTCAGTTGTGGATGTTCAGTTGGAAGTACAGATGACGTTTGTGAGTGGAGAGGTCCGGTGGACTACAGAATGAGTCAAGTTCAGAAAAGGATTTGAGGACTAGAGAAAGCATATGATAGACACCAGAATATACAGGTCATGTGAAGTCATGGCTTTATGTGAGGATATAAGAGAACTGGGTTGGGCTCGGAGCCAAGGCTCATGCCTGTAATCCTAGCTACTCAGGAGCCTGAGATCTGAGTATTACGGCACAAAGCCATCTCACACAGGAAAGTCCATAAGATTCTTATCTCCAACTAACCAGCATGAAGCCAGAAGTAGAGCTGAGGCTCAAGTGGTAGAGCATTAGCTGTGAGTGAAAAGCTAAGAGATAGTGCTTGGGCCTTGAGTTCAAGTCACAGTCCTGGCACGAGAGAGAGAGAGAGACAGAGAGAGAGAGAGAGAGAGACAGATAGACAGACAGACAGACACAGAGACAGAGACAGAGACAGACAGACATACACACACAGAAGACAGAAAGAGAGACAGAGACAGAGACACACAAAGAAACACAGATAGACACAGAGACAGAGGGAGGGAGGGACAGAGGAAGAGGGAAGGGAGACAGAGAAAGAGAGGACTGGATTAGAATCAGAGATAAATATCAGAGAGGTAACAGCAAGAGGAGTAAAAATTAAAGTGAATGATTGAGAGGGCACAGATGAAGGAGGGAGAATGAGCCAATAAAAAGGGTGGTCTTCTGAACAAGTACCCAATGGGTTGGAAAGCACTGAGGACTTCAATCTTAAAAGGAGAAAACTGCCATGTGCCATGTGACTCACCCCAGTAATCCTAGCTATTCAGAATGTTGAGACCTTCACAGTTTGAAGCTAGCCCAGGCTAAGGTGGAAAAAAGACCCTAAGACTCTATATCCAGTAGTTAACCCGCAAAAATGATGGAGATGTGGCTCAAATGGTTGAGTACCTCCAATGAGCAAGAAAGCTGAGCCCAAGGCCCTGAGTTCAAGTCTTAGTACCAGAAACAAAAAAAGGAAGAAAACTGATGCAAGTCATGAGATTTAAGCTAACTGGAATGGGAAGAAAGGTTCTTTTTTGAAGGGAAGAAAGAACACTGTGTACTCATAAAATAGAGAATTCTATGGTGAAGAGATGAAGTGGCAGTTTGTATGATAAAAATCTAAAAAAGAAAATAATGGTGGCATGCTGGCAGTAGAGATCGTAAGTTGCTAGAGTTTGTGCAGGACAGCGGACTTGAGAAGGTGGGCTGGGATGACACTGAGCATATAGGAAAAGACTGGTAGGAGCATCATAACATCATCTAGCCCAGCCCAGTCTTTGCTTCTACTCCTCTCATATTTGTTTTTGAGCTCCTTGCCCAAAGCTAGGTTCTGCCATTTTTTCTTTTTTGCACCATGTGATGACACCTGCCAGAACCATTTCATCCCTTGACAACTGCAGGAGCTCATCCTACACTTCAGTCTCCTGCAGTCCTCTCTCCTCATATGGCTAATGGCAAGCCATTAGAGGAATAGAGGTGCTTCTTGGCTCATTTCTGTCCACATTCTTGGAAGTCTACTTCTCCCTTCAACCTGGAGAACTCAACACAGCTCCCATTGGGAAGTCAAACTTAGAATTTGGTTCAACCAGGGCACTTGTGTTCAGAATCTGATGCTAATAACATACACAAGTACAATTTGAACACTGTTCTTGTTTTGTTCGCTTTTATGCATTACTGGGGCTTTGAACTCAGACTCGAACTTTGAGCTCTACCACGCAAACCCCACACAAGTATAGTTTGTAGACTGTGCATAGGGAGCTGTGTACAATGAGGAAGGCACAGCGAACATGATACCTCACTCTTACATTCCACAGGCTTTCCCATATGACATAACAGTATATGATTATTACAATATGACTTATCTAGTACTTAGTTAATAGTAAAATACTAATTAAGTACCAAAACAAGACATCTGATGCCTCCAGCAAAAGCTGCTGGCTGTTACCAATGAAGAGGGTGAGAAATCTCAGCCATTAACTGAGTCTCCTACATTGTAGATTTAGACAACTGATTCTTTGAGTTGGTTGTGAGCTCCTAAAAAGTATACCCATGATGCGAATAGATTCTTTGGTATTTTGTAGACTAGAAATAGAATGAACAAACGTAATGTTTAACGTTAAAAGAGTGTTCAATACCATTTTGTCACGTAGGTTACCAAGAAAAAACATTACAACTTTTAATCTGACTTCCATTTCTGACAATGATCATTTGAGCTCTTTTTTGTCACTAAGATCAAATGCTCTTGTTTTCAGGTTGTGAACAAATAAGAGGAAACAGGAAGTTACACTCAGCAAAAAATCTACACATGACATTTTCCATTTTTTCAAGCTTAGTAGAGAATACTGTAGACAAAAAAGAATGTATTAAATGTTGTTTGCTTTTTGCTTTCCTGGATCAACGTTTTATTTTTAATTTATAGGTTTATTTCTGCTGTCACTAAGTCATAATAGAAGTAGAATGTGTGACATTTTCCAGGGTTATGGCGAGGGTTGGGATCTGATAAACAGACAAATCAATACCCTGAGTTCAACAGGGTTGAACTCGGCCAATATTTCTCTCTGATTTCTTTAGTAGACATCAACTAACATTCAGGTTGTGGCTTGAATGTATAAGCAAGGCCTCATGCAAGCTAACAGTCACCTGTAGTTCTTAGTTTTCACTTCGCAGTGAGGACCCCCTGAAAACTTTTCAAAGAGCAGAGCACTTATACTGGAAGCAATAACAAGACAAGGCAGATGAAATGAATGGTTTCTATTCATGCTCATAATAAATAGAAAAATTAAAAGAAATATGGCAATATTGTGTGAATATGCCTAAGCTAACCCCACAGGGCACCAGTCTACAAGTTATCTATCTATCTATCTATCTATCTATCTATCTATCTATCTACCTACCTATCAAACATATCTACATACATAGATCTAGATATATATACTATATACTTACCAGGCTACTTGCATTATAGCTGTATTTATACATTTAAGAACATAAATAGATACAAATACATATAGATGGATAAGAATATCTATATATAGAGATACCATTATATCCATATATATTTTACAAGTCTTTCAAAAGGCAGTGGAATCAGAGAAGCAGAAAAGCTGATTTTAAAAAAAGCAACTCACTCATCTCTCATCTCAAGTAGTACAAGCTGCCATAGGAAATACCAGCTCACTTAGCATCAACTGCCCAGCACCTGACAGCTCTTAGTCTGTCACAATTTACCATCTTAAGACTTTCCCCTAGTGCTACTTTCTCCAGGAACATGATACACAAAACCCAGTCATTTCATTGAACACTTAAATTCAATCAAGTGGAACCCAGCGCTTTACCCATAAAAATAGCATTCAAATTTAATTTTCTTTTACCTTGGTCTTTTCGCCAACAATGTTCTTTTCCAGCTCTGCTATTTTCTGGTTTAGATTATCCAAAGTCTCCTTTTCCTTCTTAAGTTCTGTTGTCTCAGATTTCTGCTCTCCAACCAAAAGAGCACATTCCATCTGCAACTGAGGACATACAAAACAAAGCTCAGAAACAGTTCACCCTCAAGAGCCTTTCCAGTGGCCCACAACAGACATTCATGTCGAATAGTTAAAATGTTCAAAACCTCATACAGAATCAGCCAGATTGTGGTGCATCGACAGTAGCCCAGAAAACACATGTGATGGTCAGAAATACCATATAAGAAAGCTGGAGCGCCCAGAATGTATGTGTTGAGAAAGCTAGCGATCTTATCACTTAACCATTCTACTTTGCCTATTTTCTTAGATTCAGGCTCAAGCTCAAACTGCCTCAGGAGCAACTGTGCCTTGCTTGGTTCCTAATGTCTGAGGAATGGAGGTACCTCAGCCTTGCACATGAGCTCTGCATTCCTAGTAAAGCCTGCAGGAGGGGTCACTGTAGAGGAGGACAAGTGAGCAGTCCCCTTTTGCCCTTCTACTTACCAGCCTACTTGCACCATCTGTTAGTAGAGACATTCAGAGTCCCCCTACAAGCTCCCTCTCACTTCGTGGTGATAACATAAAAATGGCAAGAAGCAGAGTTATATTCCAGATCGTAGAGTACCAGTCTTGAGTAAGAAAGCCAAGCAAGAGTGCCAGGCCCTCAACTAAAGCCCCAGTACTGTGCATACTCGTGTGTGGGCACCTCTCTCTCTCTCTCTCTCTCTCTCACACACACACACACACACACACACACACACACACTCACACAAATTGCTTTATCTTCTATAGAGTTACACTCTATCTGAGCCCTGTTTGTTTCTTCTCTATGTGTGTGCCGGTCCTGGGGCTTGAACTCAGGGCCTAGGAGGCCCTGAGCTTTTGTGCCGAAAGCTAGTCCTTCCCATTTGAGCAACAGCTCCACTTCTGACTTTTTGGTAGTTAATTGGAGCTAAGAGTCTCTTGGACTTTCCTGCTTGGGCTGACTTTGAACTTCAATTCTCAGATCTCAGCCTTCTGAGTAGGATTATAGGTGTCAGCCATTGGCATTAGGCTTTGCAAATCCCAAGAAAGCTAGATTTATTAATGAATGTATTTATTGTCACACAATTGCAACAAGATAACCAATGCCTAACCAGTGCTCAGAAAATGTTCACTGGACATGAACATGTACACCTAAATATAGGATACTTTAGCTAACAGATGCTTCAACCAAAAAGCACTGATAAAGTACTTGTCGAAAAAAATTTAGTTTTATACAGAGTACATTAAAGATGGCTTAATATGTCTTTCTCATCTGATTAAAAAAAAAGAATGTAAAAGAAATATTTTTACTCTATAGTTAGTGCTGATTGAGTAAGTGTTTGTGTTGGCCACTTTGTTTTCAGATTCTTCCCGAGGTCTGAGCCTCATTACACAGAAATAGTTTTATGCTAAAGGAATCAAACAGGGAGAAAGCAAAAAGTGAACTTATACTTTATACCTCTCTGGAGGATTCATCCATCTGGTCATCTATATCCTTAATTTTTTGTTCAAGCTCCTCGAGGTTGTTTAGAATTACTATCTGGGCATCTTCCATTGCAGCCAACTCTTGAGCTCTCTGTTCTTCACTTATGCCTTCAGGAGTCTGTGATTAAGCAGCACAGAAATGGGTTATTCATGCTTCAGTACTAGAGTGTCCTGGTTTGACTTAGAAACTAGCTGCAGGACTAGTGTTTTAGTTTCTATGTCAGTAGGGTTGCTAAAAGCACTCCCCTGTTGCCTGTTTTGTTGAAATTCTGATGTCTTCTGCCACAAGATTATGACATTTGTGTTCTTAGAAAAGCTCCAACAAACAAATTTCACTTACAATTTGTATAGTTGATTTGTTTTTGTTTTTGTTTTGCTGGTCCTGGAGCTTGAGCTCTGGGCTTGGGTGCTCTCCTTGGGATGCTTTTTCTCAAGGCTAGAACTCTACCATTTGAGCCACAGTGCTATTTCCAGATTTTTCTGTGATTAACTGGAGATAAGAGTCTCAGAGACTTTCCTGCCTGGGCTGGCTTTGAATTGTGAACCTGAGATCTCAGCCTTCTGAGTAGTTTAGGATTACAGGAGTGAGCCACTGTCACCCGGCTATAACTCATACGGTTTTAAAGCTAAAATGACTAAGAATGTAAGAGGCAACCTAAAAGCTGATTTTGATGGGTCCATAAATTATCTTAAAGCAGGATCCAGCTGTGTGAGCATCCAAGTCCCCCAGCATCTTGTATCTGTGTCATCTGATCTGAGTCTGTGTCTTCTGCAATTACTCTACAATCACGATGGGCTCCAGGAAAGACTGGATTTGCCCATAAGCATCTTGTAACAAAAGGAACATTGTCCTCCAAACAGGCAATGCCATCTCCTTTTATATCATCTTGAAGACAGCCAGAAACTACAGAGCAAATGTCAGGCCTCCTGAGACAAAGACAGAGCTAATGGTCCGTAGCTCAACCAGACACTTGGGACTGCTTTAACTGTGCATACTTTTCTCACCCTCTTTCCCTAAGTCTCCCTATTTGACTTGGAGCTAATGTCTATACCTCTGAAGACAGCTGAGGGTGTACTGAAGCTCTCTCTTCTCATGGCTGTCAAGTAATAAAACTCCCTTTTCTGAACTTTACCATATCTTTTTCTTTGAGACTCTTGGAATTTGGGTCTGAAGTCTAAACATTCAGTTTCAAGAGGTTAAGAGGAAGCTGTAGTATGTAGAAATTGAAGTGTCAGAACGTTTACCAGGGAACTAGACTGACACAGGACATTTACATCTTCTTTGGGAATCTCCCTGCCCGCTGCTACCTTCCTCACAAACTCTATGTTCACTGCTGTCTACCAAAGCCTGGTTAGTCTCTAGCCACACTGTTGGATCTCACTGCACATGAACATTTGTGTCACTGTGAACACAATTTTGCTTTCAATGCAGGATGGAAAATCAAAGGAACCTCACTTTTGTGATGACTTCTTCCCTCTCCCCCCACAAAGAAAGATGTCGTTTTTCACTTTTAGTGTTGGAGTACTATTTACTATCTTACAGAACTCCTTCCTGCTATCATGTTTAAGACACTAACCAAGCAAGGGGAGTTTGTGACTGAAACCAGGATGACAGCTTCTTTTTACTTCATGGAATATCAGAGTTCTACCACTTGGCAGAGAATGAGAAAGTCAGCAAAAATTAAAGTGGTAGAGAATTGGTTCATAGTCTTCAACATGGGAGAAGAAGGAAGGAAACATGAAGACCAAAATCACAACCCACATAAGACTTTCTGTTGTTTAAAAAGAATATAAGCCAGGTGTCAGTGGCTCATGCATGTAATCCTTGCTACTCAGGAGGCTGAGATCTGAGGATCACAATTTGAAGCCAGCCAGGGTAGAGAAAGCTGGTGAGACTCTGATCTCCAAAAGCCAGAAGTGGAGCTGTGGTTCAAGTGGTAGTGCACCAGCCTTCAGCGAAAGAGCACAGGAATAGTGCTCAGGCCCTGAATTCAAGCCACATGCAGAAACAAACGAAAAAGAGAGTAGTCAATTTCAGCTTAGCTATTTTGGGCATCACCCAGTGAAGACTAGATTTTCTTTTTGGTTTTTTGGGTCCGGTCATGGGGCTTGAACTCGGACTGGGTGCTGTGCCTCAGCTCTTCAGCTCAAGGCTAGCACTCAACCACTTGAGCCACAGCACCACTTCCGGCTTTTTTCTTTTTGCTTATGTGGTGCTGAGGAATCGAACCCAGGGCCTCAGCCATGCAAGGCAAGCGCTCTACCACTGAGTCACCTTCCCAGCCCAAGACTAGATTTTCTTGAAGACCAAAGATGTCAATAAAGATATAGTATTTAGTTTTTAATCCATGAAAAAGAAGTCATCTTTTTCTGTGCTTGAAATCTGGGCTTTCCATGCTCTAGCTTTTCCACTGAAGGATGGCACTCTACTTGAGCCACAGCTCCACTTCCAGCTTTTTGCTGGTTAATTGGAAGCAAGAGTCTCACAGACTTTTTGGCCCAGGTTGATTTCAAACTTTGATCTTCAGATTTTAACCACCTGATTAATTAGGATTATCAGCAGATCCACTAATGCCTAGCTAAGATGTTTGGGAGGGTGTTTTCTTCTTCTTTTTAAGTAAATTATTAGACAATTTCACAATTAAAAATGGAAAAAAACAGCAGCCCAGTTAAATAACTAACTGAAAATTAACCACTAATTGTTAAAAAAGAAATTCAGATTAGTCAAAGAAACAATTGAAATTGAGTTGAATTAGACTAATTTATTAACCAATCCTGGTAAGAACTTTTAAGATAAATATCTACCATAGCTACCATATCCTGTATTCTCTACTCATTCTTTATCCAATTTTGTAGTTCCTTATACAAACTAAACAAGGGCTAATTGTTTGGTTAGGAACAAAGATATGTAGGCATCCCAAAGCTTGACATTTAGTTTTCTAATTGTCTTCTTAATTTTAATATATTATCAAAGAGTAAAGCAAGTGCTGACCTTTTTACACAAACAATACAACTCATTGTCTTAATACTCAGGGGTTCTCATTAGGCCACAAGGAATGCTTGCAATCCTGAATGGCATTCCAAAATCACTGACCAGTAATCCTAGCAGGAAAGCTTCCTCAAAGCCAGCATCCTGTTGGGTCAACATTACATATTAAGTTTCCACTTCCAACATGGTTTATAAATATCTTTCTCATTGTGGAAGTAAAGCATTAAGAAAAAACAAAAATGACCGAACAACCTGAACAACTGCCTACTTTATAAATAAGCAGGGGGTAACAATAATAGCATCTGCATAACTCAAAAGCTTTTAGAAAGTTTATCACAGTAGGAATATTTAATATTTAGCATGCTGTGTCTAGCAATAAATAACATCTAGGAAATGTTTGAGTTTTTTTCTCATTCTTAAGAGATCGGAAATTTTCAAGAAGTGTTCTAAAACTGAATGTTTTCTTATAAAAATGAGGTGAAAAATAATGTAATCTCAAGAATTTAGTCAAATCAAAAAAATCCAAGGTGTGACACTAATAAGTAACTTTTGTGTGTGTGTGTGTGGTGGCGGGGGAATCATGGGGCTTGAACTTATGGCCTGAGCTCTGTCCCTGTGCTCACAGGACAGCACTCTACTCTGAAGCATGGCACCACTTCTGGTTTTCTGGTGGTTAATTGGAGATAGAAGTCTCACAGACTTTCCTGCCCAAGCTTGCTTCGAACTGTGATCTTCAAATTTCAGCCTCTTGAGAAGGTAGGATTAAGTGTGGGCCACCAGCCCCTAGCATTATAACTTTACTTTCATAGTGACTGAGAGTGAAATTTTAAATTTAATACTTTTTCTATAATATTTTACTAGCATTTCCCTAAACATTACCATTGGAAGAAACTCTGTATTATTTCTTACAATTGCATATGAATCTATAATTATCTTAATTTTTAAAAATCCATTTTCTACAAAAAAATCCATAATGCCTTTCATTTTCATTTCTCTGTGATTTCTTTTTATAGTAATGGATCCAAATCCACTGATACAGTGGCATATTTTAATGAATATATTATACATATATGTGTATCTTTTTTTTTGGGGGGGGGGTCCAGTCATGAGGCCTGAACTCTAGACCTGGGTGCTGTCCCTCAGCTCTTCAGCTCAAGGCTAGTGCTCTACCACTTGAGCCACAGTGCACTCCAGCTTTTTTCTTTTTGCTTATGTGGTGCTGAGGAATCGAACCCAGGGCCTCAGGCATGCAAGGCAAGCACTCTACCACTGAACCACCTTCCCAGCCCCATATATGTGTATCTTAAAAAATGTCATCTTTAAGATAATTTCTTCCACAGAGGAAGAGAAGAACACAGGGACAAGACTTTGTACCTGTCTCCTTTCAATTCTCTCTTTAGAAATCATCTTGTAAGTTGGGCATGGGGTGACTCACGCCTGTAATCCTAGCTACTCAGGAGGCTGAGATCTGAGGATCATGGTTCAAAGCCAACTCAGGCAGGAAAGTCTCAAATTAACCACAAGAAAACCGGAAGTGGCACTGTGGCTCAAGTGATAGAGTGCTAGCCTTGAGCTGAAGAGCTGAGGGACAGTGCCCAGGCCTAGAGTTCAAGCCCCATGACCAACATAAAAAGAAAGAAAAAAAGAAGAAGAAATCCTCTTGTAATCAGAGAAGAATGTAGGGATTTTCACTATGCATGGAGCAATTCCTCAGAAAGATAGGTGGGAACCTAACTTTAAACTGGCTATTGCCCCAAATAGTAGCAGGCAGATTTGAAAAGCCTGATTAAAATTAGCATACTTCCAAGATCCTGTGCATCTTTATGTGTTGGACACATTTCCAGACTAGAAAATGTCAGATTTCCCAAATGTCATTAAAATCCTTGTGTAGTTTCATAAATTTTAAAGTGTTTTCACATTCCTCTCTTCTCATTTATCCATAAATTGACTAATAAATATTATACTTCATTAAGAAAAGAAGCTAGTGGGCAGATTATTGAGAGAATATAAATGCTAATATAAATACAAAACAAATGCTAAGGAAGTTTTTTGCGTATTTAAGCTCCCCTCTTTCCCTCTAATTTTCCCTCCCTCCTTCCTTCTCTCTCTCTCCTTCATGCTGGTACAGAGGCTTGAACTCAGGACCTCCAGCTCTCCCTTGGCTTTTTCCACTCAAGGTTAGTGCTCTCCCTTTTGAGCCATACCTCTACTTTGGGTGTTTTGCTAGTTCACTGGAGATAAGAGTGCTATGGACTTTTCTACCCAGGCTGTCCACCTGAAATAGATAGGGTTACCAGCATGAGCCACCTTCTATCTCTTATCTTGGATTAAGACATGCCTGTCTTTGAAAAATAGTAAGTGAAAATCTATTCCTTGGAAGTCATCAGCCTCTCATTTGAACTCTAAGCTGTTGCCTGGTACCTCTCATGTTTCCAGGGTCTAAACGATGCACAATCTAAGTCTCTTGTGACAATGGATGCTGCTCCTAGTTCTAAAGGTCTCCTATTCCACATGAGCATGTTTGACCAATTAAAACCATCTGTCAGGATCTACTTGTTTAGACAACAGGTTTCTTGTCCAAAGCTTCTCCAGGAGGAAATCTGAGTCCCAAGGGTTGTCTTCAGAAAGACCACATAGCTCAATGTCAAAATCCAGTCAGAGCTCCATAAAGGAAGAAATGTGGGGGAAAAAAAGTTGTAAGGAAGTCATGGATTTTGGGAGGAAAAAACAGCAAAAACCCAAAAGGTGATGAAAACAGCTCAAATTTTTAAATAGGTCATTTCTTTCTCAACACTGGGCAGCTTTTTGATTCCTCCCTGCTTTTTCTCTTCCCCATCCTATCTTCTAAAATCTTCTAACTTCCTAGCAGTTAGGACGTATGTCCTGTTCATAGTTTCTCTCCACTGAGTTAACAAGGTAAATATGGTCATTAGAGTAAAGAATAGATTGATGGATATCACATATTTAATACTTCAGTTCCCTGATGTGTGTTAGAGAAGTCAGAAGTGAGATAAGAACTTCTGACCAGGAACAAATCGTCTTGAAAAAATTAAAATCAAGTACTACACAAACTCTAAATACCACTCAATGTAATAAATTATTGCCAGAAATTAGCATGTTGGGTTTCTTTTTTTCCAGTATGTATCCTTCTCTTACAATAACAATTAACTAATGTATACTTTTATTGCTGTTATTCTGTGCATGCAATTGTGAAGAATTGCAGAGTTGACCTTAACGGTAGGAATTATTTAATAGATCCTATTTACTCTATTTCTGTTGTTATTCTGCCAGTTCCAGCGTTTGAACTCAGTACCTTACACATGCTTACCTTGCTGATTCAGCTGGTGCTATACCTCTTGAGCCATGTCCTTAGCCTAGCTTCTTGCTGGCTAATTAGATATAGAGTCTGCTTTTGTTGACTTTGAACCATGATTCTTCATATTTCAGCCTCCTGAGTAACTAGGATTACAGCTAAGAGCCACTGGTGCCAGGCTTATTTATTATTAAATAATTTTACCTCATAAATGTGGTAGTTTTTCCTTCCAACTCTGATACTTTACTATTAATCTAATAACATGTGTGTCTTTATTGTAGATAACTTCAAATAAATCTTTTGTAGGAAAAAAGGTCAGGAGCTTTTTAAAAAAACATTTGATTTTAAAAAATCTTAACCTGTATGGGGGTTAAAAAAATGTCCCAGAGAGTATCCTTGAACCTCATTTAGGAAATTTTCACATTCTCAAAGACTTGACTGCTGGGGCTGGCTTCAAACCAAGATTCTCAGATCTCAGTCTCCACAGTAGCTAGGAATCCGGGCATGAACCCTCAGCACTCAAATTAGTTTAAACATCCTAATTTGCTGTCATAATAAAATCTCTAGGCTCTAGGTCTAAGTCCACCCAGCATTACCTTTGGTAGGATACTTAAGTAAGAGGATTCGCTGGATGCCTTCAAAAAGGCAGAGGGGGATGGTACAGGAGTCCTGGCAAGGTCGCCCAGCAGTTCATCATTCCTGATGCTCCTGGGGGTGAAGAAGCTGGCACTGCTCTGACCCAGGCTCCCAAAGCCTGCCAGGTCAGCATCGTGGACAGAGTTCTTCCGATGGCACCGGTATCTTGTGTCAGGGCATGCCAGAGCTTCTTCAAACACTGACTCTTCATCAGACAGCTGTAGCTTCTCAAGCTCTTTGTTGATCTTCTGCACATCTGCCACCGTGGTGCCTGTAGACAGGTGGCTGTCAGGCTTGGAGTACTCAGCACAGAGGCTGAGAATGGTCTCCAGACGCTGTCTCTCCTAGAGCACAGGGGAAGGGAGGGGAATGGAGACAATTACAAAGAAAAAGTTGAAAGAGGCTGGCCATCTTAGTCCACATATCAGCACACTGAATGCCTGACTGCTGATAACTGTTCTTTTTTTTTTTTTTTTTCTAAAGTTTGCAGGATCAATGTTTGTAATGCCTGATTTTTCTTCATTCAATTCTGGCTATTAGATGAGCACTGGTGGCTCCTGCTGGTAATCCTAGCTGCTCAGGAGGCTAAGATCTGCAGGATCAACGTTTGCAGACAAGCTAGGCAGAAAAGTTCACTAGATTCCTTTTCTAATAACCAGTAGAAAGGCAGAAATGGAATTATGGCCCAAGTAGTAGATTGCCTGCCAGCCTACCAGGCAAGAGTTCAAATGCCAGTATGGCAGTCAATCAATAAATCAATAACCAAATAAATTTAGCCTTCCCCTTTATCTTTATTTCCCAGGCTTATTTTTAGCATACAAAAGCATTAGTCTAAACTTCTATCAAGGTCTAAACACTTCAAGATTTATTTATTTATTTATTTTGTTGGTTGTGGGGCCTGAACTATGGGCCTGGGCACTGTCCCTCAGCTCTTCAGCTCAAGACTAGCACTCTATCACTTGAGCCACAGGACCACTTCTGGCTTTTTCTGCTTATGTGGTACTGAGGAATTGAACCCAGGGCCTCATGCATGCAAGACAAGCACTCTACCACTGAGCCACCTTCCCAGCCCAAGATTTATTATTTTTTAATTGTTGTATTATATTTTATTTACTTCATTTGTTCCAGTACTAGGGCTTGAACTCAGGACTTAAAGATGGCACTCTTCCATTTGGGTTGCATCTCCACTTCTAGCTTTTGACTGGTTAATTGGAGATAGGAATCTCTCTGGGCTAGCTTCAAATTAATTCTTACATCCTAACCTCCAGTCAAAGATTTTTTTAAAAATCTTTGTTTCCTATTTACTCCTTTTACCACCTTCTGCTTATTTATTTATTTATTTTGGGTCCGGTAGTGGGGCCTGAACTCTGGGCCTGGGCACTGTCCCTCAGCTCTTCAGCTCAAGGCTAGCGCTCTACCACTTGAGCCACAGTGCCACCTCCGGCTTTTTTTCTTTTTTGCTATGTGGTGCTAAGGAATCGAACCCAGGGCCTCAGGCATGCAAGGCAAGCACTCTACCACTGAGCCATCTTCCCAGCCCTCTGCTTATTTACCTACAACAATATTAGATCTTTCCCGATATACACCTAATACTCATGCCTAACCTTAACTTTCTACTTCTTTACAGAAATAGTCTATTGTTAGACACAGAGTACCTAAGCTATGTTTCTTTGAAAGAGACATTTATGCCTTCATTTTTGTTTTTAAATGCTTCAAATTTTTGAAACCTTTTAATGTCTAGTAACCATGTAATGATCTTTTTACTAGCTTCACATATGAATAACTAGGATTATACAAAAGTGTGAATAGAAGCCAGGACCTAGTGTGTCACATCTGTCATCTTAACTACTCAAGAGATTGAGATCAAAGGTTCATGGTTTGAAGCCAGACAGAGTAGAAATATCAGATATCCTTCATCTCTAATTACTCATCAAAATGCCACACAGGAGACATGGCTCAAGTGGCAGAGGGCCAGCCAATTATGTAAGTCTAGGAAGAGTGAGTTTGTAAGCCTAGCAAGAATGAGTTTGAACTCTGAGTAATAACACACACACACACACACACACACACACACACACACACACACACACACACACACACACACGATTATAACAAGGAATATTTCATGACAAGTCCAGATAGAAAAACAGTAATGCCTGCACCAGAATCAACTCCAAATGGATCAAAGACCTTGAACTCAAAGCAGACACTCTGAAAACATTACAGGATGGAATAGGAGAAACCCTGGGTCTCCTTGGCTCAGGCCGAAATTTTTTGAATAGAGACCCGGAAACACAACAAATCAAAGAAAGGTTGGACAAATGGGATTGCATAAGGTTGCAGAGCTTCTGCAGGGCAAATGACATAGCTAGCAAGATCAATAGAAAGCCCACGGATTGGGAGAAGATCTTTACTAGCCATACAACGGACAAGGGTCTCATATCTAAAATATACTTGGAACTCAAAAAATTAAACCACCCAACAACAAATCCTCAAAGAAACAACTGCCCAATAAGTAAGTGGGCGAAAGACTTAAAGAGAAGCTTCTCTGAAGAAGAAAGAAGGATGGCCAATAGACACATGAAGAAATGTTCAACATCCCTAGCCATAAAAGAAATGCAAATCAAAACAACATTGAGATATCACCTCACTCCCGTTAGAACAGCAAAAATCAAGAACTCTAACAACAACAGATGCTGGAGGGGATGTGGACAGAAAGGAACCTTACTTCATTGTTGGTGGGAATGTAAACTTGTTCAACCACTTTGGAAAGCAGTATGGAGGTTCCTCAAAAGACTTCACATAGAACTCCCCTATGACCCAGCAATCCCACTTTTGGGCATTTACCCTAATGTTTACAAAAAAGACCACACTAAAGCTACCAGCACAACTATGTTTATTGCAGCATTATTTACCATAGCTAAGATATGGAACCAACCCAGATGCCCCTCAGTAGATGAATGGATCAAGAAAATGTGGTATATATACACAATGGAATTCTATGCCTCCATCAGAAAGAATGACATTTCCCCATTTGTTAGGAAATGGAAAGGCTTGGAAAAAATTATATTAAGTGAAGTAAGCCAGGCCCAAAGAAACATAGGTCCCATGGTTTCCCTTATTTGCAATATCTAGTATAGATATGAGTCAAGCGGAAAAAGTCAGATAATGTGATGTTAGGAAAACGAACCCTCAAATATGTATTTTAATGTTTTTGTTTCTTTCATGCATGTGTTTCTAACGCATTTATAAGATTATTTCTTTGTTGCTTTGTATGTCCCTCCCCCACAGTGTAACCCCCCGCTTTCACTATATTTGATGTCAGTATAACATGTGGAGGAGACAGGGACAAACAAGTCGTTTAAGGATTCAGGTGGACCTGTTGCAACAATGAGAAGTACAAAATGTCATGTCAAAACCAGCTTTACAATGTCGGGGGGGGGGGGGGGGGGTTTGATTGGGTGGGGGGGAGGGGGGAGGGTGGGAAGGGAGGTGAAGGGTAAACAAAGGAGGAGGCTGCAATGCTTGGTAAGAAATGTATGCATTATCCTGCCCATGTAATTGTAACCCCTCTGTACAGTATGTTCTCAAATAAAATAAAATTAAATTAAAAAAAAACAACAACAGTAATGTAGCTCAAAATCTGAGCTCTTTAAGTATGTGATTCATATATGAGAAAAATTTTAATGTTAAATTGTTGAAAAGAATGTATATATGGACCATTGATTCTATAATAGTTTCTCTGACCTCTCACTACACTCCCTGTGCAAAATAGTTATACAGTTATAATTTTTAACCTTAAGCAAACCATTCACATATTTGTGAACAATAGGAAATAATTGGCGAAATCATTTTCATAAGCCTAGACAGTATTATTTGGGTGGGGAACCTTACCATCTTCGCCCTTCATGTTAATTCCAAGGCCCAAGTGAAAACAGCACCCCAAACAAGAACCATCTGTGGCAACTGCATTTGCTACATTGAAAAGAGACTTCAAAAGCCCTCCATGGCAAAATACTTAAAACGGATGATCAGTGATATCAAACAGGAAAAGATGAAGCCGCGCCAGACTGCTATTTTCACTCTGAATTTAGTAATTGGTAAAGCCAAAATTCAAACACAGTCCTTAGTTCGTTTAGGTCATAATGAACATTAAAGTCAAAGAGTAACAAACCAATATAACTACCTGGTTTCCATGCAATATATTAATTAGGTAAGTTATCAGTCATTCAAGGTGTTTATCTGACATTCTGCCCTTTAAAATATCCTTCCTCCCACCCAAAAGGAACAATAACCTAATCACAAAGTCCACTGAACCAATGACTAAATGCTCCCACCTCCCTTTCACTGCCGGAACATCTGTGCTCCAGCTCTGGCTCAGTCCTCATGGTGTCTTCCAGGGCAAGCACTCATAGCTGAACACCACCAGACACAGGCTCTTCTGCATCCTCCACCCTGGGGCCCTGACACTTATTTATCTCTGCAGCTGCCACCAGCTGCCAAGCCCTACCCACCTCAGCTTTATGGGGAGGGAGTAGGGGGGACACAGCGTTCTTTTCTTGGTTTCCAAGTTCTCCCAACAATAAAGTCTACACAAGAAAAGCAATCAAACACAACCTGTAAGCACACAGAGACAACAAGTTCTATTTTATCCTTTCTCCACATCTTCTGTATGAAAGGCTAAATTCCAAAGGAAAAAATACCCTTTCCATTATTTGGCTAATTAAGTTGAAGCATCTAAACTCAGTCTTTACTTATCTTTGTAGATCATACTATCCACTTTGGAGACCATCTGAAAGTTCTCCATTTTCATTTATAAGGGTTCCCATAAATGATGCTGTCTTCAAAAGAATAGAATACATAGTAACATTCTTCCTGCATCTCCTTCCCCCAAGTAGTTTCTTTTGCTGCCAGTACTATTGCTTAATTCCAGAGGAAATAAATGACCCCAGCCTTAAGATGAATGCTATTTCAGACAGCGAAATGAAGTTTTCAAAGGCTTGCGCACAGGAAGTTTGGTCTGCTGGTGTGTCTTTCTCTCTATTCTTATCACCCCATTCAGAGCCAAACTGTCCAGGCTTGAATCACACACCCAGGCAGTGCTGCTGTGCACATGGGCCTCAGAGAAATCTAGGCTGTGCTGAAACACACTGACCCCATAAAAGCAACACCAAAAACAAAACTAAAAACAAAAAATTATATCAACAAGTACATCAGAAGAAAGTCTTCAAGGCATTTTAGAAAACACTTCAAGAAGTCTTTTAAGGAAAGCTCTGAACAGACATTTGTCTCACTAGATGACTCTCCCTCTTCATTCTGTTGTCTGGGTCCTTCCAGTCATCAT